TTATTCTTTTTTTTATCTTTTGCTCTTCGTTTTCTTTTCTATTTGTTTTCTTGTTTTCCTTTTCCTCCACCTCCTCCTCTTCCTTCTTCTTCTTCTTCTTCTTCTTATTCTTCTTCTTTTCTTGTTTCTTTTTTCAAACTTGATCACCCCTTAATTTCACAACAACCCACCACCTTCTTCTTCTTACTCCACCTCTTCCTCGACGAAGAAGGGTGTCAGACGTTCGTTCAAGGAACGAACGTTGTATCATCCACCACGATGACGAGGAAAACGGTTGTCCTACTCTTTTTTTCTTCCCTCTGTCTCCACTTACCTCACCACTACTCACGCTTAACCATAACCAGAGCATCACCACAGCGACCCTGAAGAAAGCACTCTCTCTTGTTACCACCGTTTACCTATTGACATCAATGCATAGATTCTCTCAATAGATGAGAGTGACAATGAGAATGAGGAAAAAAGTAACACAGAGAAAAAGAAAATGAGAGAGAAAGAAAAAAGGAGAAAGAAAAAGAGAAAAATAGAGGAAGAGAGAGATGAAATAAGAAACACTTTAACAGAATCACTGTCGTAATAAATGATATTGATTGTTGTCACTCGTCCCGTTTTGAATCACCATAGAAAAACACGACAATTACATCTTCACAATGATCGACATCAAATTAACGAATAACCACTACTCGATATATATCATTATATCCAATCGTCGAGGCACCTACGTATTTACATGTGTTATAGCGACCGAATTTCTTGAAAAACTCGAAAACTTAGCAGGTGAAAGAAAAAACAGAACCAAAATTCGGAGGGACCAACCGAACAAAAACAACAAAATCCAACTTTAGTCTTGCGATCAGACTACTCTGGCGGTCTCTCGAGACTGAAAGTCAGCCTCCGGAAGCATGGACTCGCGTGTACCTCACGTTTTCCGGACGAGCCGGTGGTGGGAAATGCCGGCGATGGCTTTCGGTGGATACCCCCGACACTACTCTCTTTCTCTCTCTCTCTCTTTCTATCTCTTTCTCTATCTATCTACCTATCTATCTCTCTCTTTCTTGTTTGCTTGCTTCTATGGTATACTACGAACTCTAGACGGGGTAGGCCCCTTCTTCCTGTCCCCACCAAAACGACTCGTAGAGACGCCGGTAAGTCCCTTTCTCTCCCTTTCCTTCTTCTTCTTTTTCTTCTTCTTATCCTTTTCTTTCTCTCTCTCTCGTTCTTCTTTTCTCTCTTTCTTTTTCTCTTTCTCTTTTCTCAGCGACCTACACTCTTACTATTACTGTTGGTGGTGGTGGATGATGCCGAAAGACTCCCACCACCACCACCACCACCACTACTACCACCACTCAAGAAACGGGCCCTCTCTCTCTCTTCCGATGGTAGGAGCCTTCAACGGACCCCTCGAGACTCCATTGGTCGGGGCGGAGCGTTCTCCAAGTAAACGAGGACAGGTGCCAGATTCGTGATACGTTAGAATAAGAGGGAGAGGGAGGATAGTAAGGATCACGGAGGGATAAAAAGAGGAGGAAGGTTCTTCCTCAAAGGGAAGAAAGAGTTCGGTTGATACCTTTCTTCCCTTTCTCTTTCTCTCTTATTTCTTTCCAGATTCTGCAGATCCCTCCTTCGATCCTCCTCCAAGTTCCTCTTCATCTTCTTCTTCTTCTTCTTCTTCTTCTTCTTCTTCTTCTTCTTCTTCTTCCTCTTCTTCGTCCTTTTCTTCCCTTCCTTCTCTCCTCCTTATGAGTCGTTTCCTCGCTTAGAAAAGATACCTTCTTTCATCCCCCCCTCTTTTCTTCATTTTATTTCCTCTTTCAGCTTACAATTTAGAAATCCTCAATGACTTTCTATACTTCTACTGTGCACCCTCCCGAAGAATGTTAATAAAGTGTAACCAAACGATAATCTCGATATTCGATACTTCATTCATATGAAAATATAATAATGGTTCTATCATAAAAAAATCAATCTCCAATCGATCATATATAAAAATAATCGAAGTGATACGATTTTATCAATAACGTTCGTTCTCATACGCACACTTTTTTTTATTCTTCTACTGTAGTATCTATTTTCAAAAAAAAACCCAACCTTACGACGGGACTTTTGAAATTGTTTTCTTATTCCTTTTTATGATCTGATATAAGTGTGTGCACGCGCCAAGCAAACCGAGAACCGACTGATACGAACGTCGAACTTCTACCCAATGAGAGAGCTAACGTTTACGGGGGCAAGAGGGTCTCCGAACACAGCTCGGTTTACCGATAATAAACATCTTTTCTAAACGCACGGCACGTTTCCCTTTCTTTCTTTCTTTCTCTCTCTGTTTTTTTTTACTTTTTTACTTTTTTCCCCTTTTTTTCTCTCCTTTTCTATATTTCTTTTCTCTTCTTCTTCTTCTTATTTTCTCATTCTATCGAAACGACTTCGAATTTACACGGCACATTTAGACGGATATTTCACGTGACTTCGAGGTACTTTATAATTACCGTTAAACATGCGGAAAACGTAATAAGTCCTTTAAATGTTTCTTTTCGAACGTTCAAAAAAAAAATATTATATATATAGACACACGTGTATATGTGTGTGAATATATGTATGTATATAAGTAAATTTTTAAACAGTCATATCTTTCTTCTCATAGATCGGTGCTAAAGATCAATAGAACGTTGATGACGAAAACGATGACTTTGTCAATTTAAAAAAAGCTAAAAATTATGGTTTTTTTCTTTTTTTCTCTATCTCTCTTTTTCAATATTTTCACAAAACTATGATTTGGATCTAATCAAAAAGATAAATCACTCACTTATCTTGATAATAACGAAATATTAAATATTAATATATGTAACTAATTTTACTCAATTTCGTCAATATTTCGTATCATTTAAAAATAAATAAATGACTATGTATTTTCTAAAGTAGTTAAAAAGATTCTCATCTTCTTGCATTCCATTGATAAGCACTTAGTAAACAATCGTTATTAGATTTCTAATCGATTATTATCGGATGATTACGAAACATTATAGCACCTAATCTCTTCGTTCAATCTATTCTCCAAGATATAATATTATATTTTCACGAGAAATTTATTTCTACTTTTTACTCGCCGCTTTATACATTAATATATATTTTTTGTACAATAATATATATATTTTGTAATCAGATTGATTAACAAAATTGCATTAATTATTGCAAAATAATTGCTCTCGTGTATAAGTATTTGAAAAAAAAAGGAATATTATATCGAACATTTATTAAACAAACGAACAATAAAAACAAAACGATCGATGAATTTATTTATTAATCAGTAAAAACATTATCCCCCTTCTTCCCATAAAGAGAAATGGGGGGAATAATAAATAAGAATTTAAAAAGAAAAAAAAAGAAAAGTTGTCGAAAGGATAATTTAAATTCACTTTTTCCTCAACTTTCCCTTTCTCTCGTGTTAAAAGACAAAACGATAATATAAGAAAAAGAAAAAATAATGAAACAATGGTTAGGGTTAGAGAGTCGTCGTTGTTGTTCGTGATGGCAAAAGCGGTCTTCTCGATGTAGAAGAAGACCCCGAAGAATTACGAACCAATGAAAGTATAAATGGCGCTCGTTAGCAGGAGGGGTCCGTTCGTTCTCGTCCGATACCAGAATCGCTGAAACTCGCCGGCAGTAAAAGGTAACGAGTATTCGCGAGCTGTAAACATTCACGAGAACGGGACAGAACGGAACGGAACTGTACGGGATGGGACGATACGGTACGGCGGGTACTTTACTCCGGAACATTTCATAATCCTGTTACGAGGCACTTTCAAACTTTTGTGTGTGTCCCGACTCGAGAGAATGCGATTTCCCGTTGTTGCTGTTGTTGCCGATCGAAAAAAATAATAAAAATTCATCGTCAAGGTGCAAATAACGGCCTAACTAAGAAACATTGACAACGACAACGTTTCCAATCCGGCAATCGTTCAACGTCATTTCGGATATCGTTATCTTCATCGAGACACAACCTACGCGTGAAAAAAACCAACGAATAGAATACAAGATGAGACTTATTTCAAAAACTAAAATTATGTCAACTTTCATTTTGAATGGGACGAACGCTTTCACGTCATTTGGAGAAATCCAATATGGTTACTTTTTTTTAATACATATCATTTTCTTTTCTTTTTTATTTTTTTCTCGTATTTTAAATTATCGTTAAAATATAAAATATTCGACCACTATCGTGCGATGATTTATCGATAGAATATTAAAATAACTAAATGTCTGAATTCATTGCTATACTTTACAAAAAGAGAAAGAGAGATGACGTTAGAATAGTACGTTATTTATTAACATATATATATTTACTATGTGACACATAACGACAATCGAAGAAATCATCGATTAGTAATGACTCGTCACAATAGGATTCCTCAGATCATCAGATTGTGTTTTTCGTTGAGTAGATCACGAGTAGGTTCGACGAGCTCTAGGTCTCTTTTTTCGAAGTAACACGATCCCAGAAGAAGAAAAAGAAGAAGGAGAAGAAGGAGAAGGAGAAGGCAGGAGGAGAAAAAGAATCTTTCGAAGGTCCAAAGAGAAAAGAGAAAATAAAAGAGAGAGAGAGAATGTAACACCGAACGATGCAGAGGTCCACCGAGAGAGAGTGGGCCCTTTCGCGTAATGGACGGCTCAAATATTTATCATCGGCCGCGTAATTTAAGGTGCGTTTAGCAAACGGAAGACGACGCAAAGGGAAAACAAACAAGTGAGATAGTTTGAGAAGGATGAGGATGAGGAAAGGGAAGAAACGTATCTGAGGACACGTAGGATGAGAGATAACGAACGAAGGAACGAAAGAACGAACGAAAGAACGAATAAGAAGAGGAAGGAAGGAAGAGAAAGAGAAAAGAGCGAGAGGTAGCCGAGGGCAAGAGAGGTAGAAAGAGTAGCTCAAAGGGACCGCCGCGGGGCTCAGAGGGCCCAGTGAGAAGGCACAAACCCCAATAATAGCACCAGAATTTATATACCTGCACGAACTCGCCGGAACGATCCCGTAGCCGAAGGCTCCACGGTGTGTTCAGGGACGGCTTCGTGATCCTCTCCTCCCCCCTCTCTTTCTCTTTCTCTCTCTTTCTTGTCATTCGGCATCTATTTCCAGGAGAAAATGATTCGAAAACATTGTACATACCTGCAATCTTGATAGAAAAAGAGAGAAAGTGAATAGAACCCCTCCTCCTCCTCCCGTGAGATACTTGAAAATATGTAAAAGATGTATTCACCTTCAACGTATCAAAAATATATTATGGATAAGTATATGTACTTCGTATTATTTTGATCTAATCCCGAATTAAATTGAATTTGGCGTACCTTCTCGTCTTCCGTCGAAAGGCTATCAACAGAAGACTAACCAGATACTAGTTTAGGATATCTAGAAGATGAGAATAATAGAAGAGGAGTCGGAGAACGGCAGAGTTAGCGGCCCTGAACACGGTTGCTCATCGGCGGTGGCGGCGGCGGTCTAGCATCTTCCGAAGGAAGAAAGAGAAAGAGAAAGAGAAAAGAAGAGTAGAAACAGCAGTCCGTGGCGAGCTCGAGAGCGAATCATCCATCACCGAGGGCTCAAAGCTGTATCTCTCCTGGTGACCGGTGCTGCCGGCCGGTGCGTTTGGGATGCCAAAGAACGGCCAAATATTGTGAAAGGTCCAGAAGAGGCAGGAACGTGAAATAAATTTGCTGTTGCCGGCGTGGAAAAGGACGGAACAAACAAGAGAAAGAGAAAGATAAAACGATCCTTCCTCTTTCCAACCTTTGGAAGGTTGCGCCTTATACTTGTGCGTGTCGAGAGGAAGAAGGCTCTTTAACCACTGTGTCGGCTCTTTGAACCCTGCCTGTACTTTCTTCTCTCTCTCTTTCTTTCAATATATATATGCACCTTTCCTTCTCTTTACCTATATGTATGTATGTATGTATGTATGTATGTATGTATATATATATGTATGTATGTGTATATCGAAGAGATGCACATTTACATTTCACACGCGGAGCACGCTACCACTGACTTTCTTTCTCTTTTTCTTTTTCTCTCTTTCTCTCTCTCTCGTCATACGCCGACACAATCTTGCCGCCGAATTCTTCGCACGCTCGATTTACGCGCGAATTCCCACGGCGACGTTGCTCCCCAAAGGTTTCCCCCTTTTCAACTTCCGTAAAAAGATCATTGCTAAAAAATGTAATGTCATCGATTACAAAGTCTAATAATGATTTTTGGATTCTTTCCATTTATTTTATATTTTTTTTCTTTTTAAACAAAAAGATTCGCCATATATAATCGATAATGCAAAAACGTATCGAAACTATTACTCCAAGTTATTGAAATAAAAGAATGACGATGAAAAAGAAAAAAAAAAGAAATGAAAAAAAGAAGTAGCTTATAACGAGCCACTTGAAATCTCACTGTAAAAGAGGCGCACAACCGTACCACACGTATGTTGTGCTGTACATATAAAGGAAATAACTAGCTGTAAGGGAAGGATACGGAGACGTTGATAAGCATCGATAAAGAAGCGCGCTCTTTCATCTTCGAAATCACGTTTTACGACGTCCTCCCTTCCCTATTGGCGCTTGTTAACGTAGCAGCACCTTGACCGTGCTCTCAACCCATAATCTTCTCCGCGAATGCTACGTATCCTTGTCTCTCGCTTCTTCTTCTTTTTCTTTTTGTCTCTCTCTTTCTCTCACCCGTTCTTTCTTACTCTTGTATACGCTTACAGGGATTAATAATACGAAGCAAACTTTCGAAGGGAGCGAAAAAGCGAGACGGCGAAGGTACTGTGCTCGAACGTCGACGAAGTAGGAGGAGTGGGAGGAGGAGGAAAAGAAAGAGGAGGGGAGGGTCGCGAAAACGCGAGAGTCGCGTAGAAAGAGAAAGAAAGCGGTAAGAGTGATGGAGTGAGGGGTGGGGAGGGAGACAAAGAGAGAGAGAGAGAGAGATAGGAGACATGCAAGTGGAAGGGTACAGCGTTCGTAGCTCGTAAGTTAGCACGTGGTCGAGTCGAGCCGTGCGAAGGAAACCGAGAAGCAGGAACGAAGAGGTGGAACGAGTCGAGCCAGGCTTACCACCTCGTCCCACCCCACCATCTTCTCCAGGATCCACTGACGTAGAAGCGTCTCGTTTGTATTATACTTTTGTTTCTTCGATGCTTCCACTTACTACCACATTATTATATACTTCTATCTCTTCGCGTCAGGGCCCCGTGGAGTGCTTACGAAACTTATTTTTAGGCACTCTCATCTCTTTCTTTCTTTCTTTCTTTATCTTTCAACGGCAATACTCGTTCTACGTATTCAAATATGCCGCCAATATTCTGATAAACGGTATTGTGTAACGAATATGATATAAATCATCGATCTTTTTTTTCTACGTGAAAGTTAACGAAATATAACATAGATGAACTTTCGAAAATGATTTATTCACGATAGAAACGTCGCCGTTTCGAAATTTTCCCGGATATTTTCATTTTCAAACCACGCGTTAAAAATTGAATTTGATCACTGGCCGTCCGTCCATTGTTTAACTCTACGCCGCGAAGTTAGCACCAATCGAACTTTCGAACTCTGTTATCAATCTTACGAGATGTCACTTATACTACAAGTAGAAGAAAAGAATTTAAGCAGGATTAAAAAGAAGAAATAAGTTCGATAGGAAGAACTACACTGAACGATGCGTAAATAAAATAAAAGAAAAATTTGGGAAGAAAAAAATGTACGAAAGAGAAATAGAAAAAAATAAGATGAGAAAAGAAAAAGAAAAAGAAAAAAAGTTTAAAATGTTAACAGAAAAAACATTATCTGATAGGAAGAGGACTCCCTCGATAGCGACGCCAGTGAAATCTCCCTCTCTCTCTCTCTCTCTCTCTCTCTCTGCATCTTCCTCGCTCCTTCATCCTCTTGGAGCCACCTCATCTTCGCGGCCCGAGCCGAGAGAAAAGACGGCGATACACAAGGGTGGTGGTAGTGATACTGCGAGGAGAAAGAAGGAAGGAAGGACGGAAAGAAAGAAGGAAGAAAGGAAGGAAAGAAGGAAGGAAGGAAGAAAGAAAGGAAAGAAGGAAGATTGGTAGACGTAAAAGAAAAAGAGAAGAAAGATTCGAAGCTCTGGTCGTCGGCGTGATATCCCGGGAGCAGCCGAGGTAAGCTCGCTCGCGCGCGCAAGGACCACACAGGACGCGGCACGCGCGCGCTCTACCGGGTGGGCCAGCACACGTCCGCTTCGGGCGTCCTCGTGCTACCTCGGTCGCGCTCGTGCGTCTTCGACTGGGCCCAGTGGTCGAGCGCAACCGAGGCCACACAGATCGCGCACGCGCGAATGCTTCCTGGGTGGCATTCGCCTGCCGGCCGGCAGGACGAACGTAAGGTACTTTTCTTTCTTTCTTCTTTCTTCTTCTTCGCCTTCTTCGCCTTCTTCTTCTGCTGCTTCGTCGTCATCGTCCTCGTCGTCGTTGTCTCTTCTTCCACCGTTCTCGAGCCTCGTACAACCTGTTAGTGTCGTGCTATCCGCACGTTATGCCCCTCGTTCTCTCTTCACCTTTCAGAACTCTGATCATCTCTCCTTCTCTCTCTCTCTTCTTTTCTTTGCTGCCGCTTACTCACTCACTCGTTCTCTCCCCGATTGACCCTGGAGGCTTCTTCTGCCTCGGGTATCCTCTCCAACATCACGAGCTTCTAATAAGATTCCAATTTGTCAATTAGGGGGAGGACGGGATCTCGGAAAGTAGCGAGCCTTCTCACTCCTTCTCACTCCTTCTCACTCCTTCTCTCTTTCTGTTCCTCTTCTTTTTCTTTCTTTTACACGTTCAACGATCTCGTTACATTATTTTCTGGTAGCTTCTGTATGAGATCCTCCTCCATTTTTCCTAAGGAACGAATACAACCAACCAACCAACCAACAAGCATACTCCTGACTCTTGTAAGAAAAACAAGGATAAGCTGTTTGGTTCCCATGGAAAGTCCGGCGCAGCTTCCGTAGCTGCGATACGAGACGCACGCATGAACACGTTTTCTCGGAGGAGTCACCGGGGAACTTGGAACGAACTATAAAGTTCCATTTCTACCGGGCGAATGTCTTCGAATTAGCAATAAAGCAGCTATCTTCTCTCCCCCTTGCGAACGGACAACGAGGCCGCACGGCGTTGGCTCCTTCTCGTTTTTTGTTTACTCACTAGCGAACTGGTTTTGCGGTGTACACGCTCCTCTCTTCTTCTTCTTCYTCTCATTCTTATTCTCTGTTTGGTCTTTTATTTTTTCTTATTTTTTTCTACTCCCTTGTCTTTTCATTTTAGACTCTAGCAAAGCTTCAGAAGACGGGAGAAGAAAGAATAAAAAAAAAGGCTATTTCGAGATACACAAATACGTATGTACATGCATACTTCGACTACGTTGCGTTAAAGGAAAAGAGATGGAGTAGATCGAGGTGGAGGAGAAGGAAAAGGAAGAAGAAGAGGAAAGGAGGATTGTCTGTAACGTAGAAAAGAAGTCAATGAGCCCAGCTGAGCTCGAAGGAATCCACCCGACGATGGCACGTGGAATGACGTAGGAAGATCGAAACTCTTTCTTTCTTCACTCGGATGTATTCTACAGTTGGGGGAGGAAGGGGAGGAGACAAGGAGGAATGGGAGATCTAAAAAGAGGAAGCTACGCTGGTATCCTCGTTACCGAAAAGGATAGATCGTATGAATTTTAGGCATCTACTAGGAGTGTGGATATAAATAATTACATTAGATATTTAATTGTTAGTTATGATGATAATTAATAATTAATTAAGAAAGATATCTTTCAAAAGTTACGCAAATCATTTCTTTTCCTATCTTTTCCCTTTTATCTATAATTTTGTTTATTTTCTTTTTTCACGAATAATTCAACATATTATGATAAAATAAGGTTATAAAACATGATTATATTTAAATACACATACGCACATATATATATATATATATATATATATATATATATATATTTATATATAGAATATAGGTATGTATAAGAATCTCACACATGATCTAGGTCCATGCGAGTAGAAACAAAGGAATACTTCCTCCTACTCCTTGTTCAAAACCTTCCGATCCTTCTTCCCTCCCTTTTTCCCTCGAATGGATTCTACCCTGGTGCAGCGACGTTCGAAGGGGGTATATAACGACGAGGAACAGAGCCGCGAAGGACGGCAAAGAGAGAGAGAGGTGAAAAAGGGCAGTGAAGAAGAAGGAGGAGGACTCGAAGAAGAAAGAAGAATAAGAGGAGTGAACCGGAGGAGGAATAGGCCATTCCACTTATACGCTGCTCGGATTCAATTAACTCTCCACCTTCTTCCCTTCTCCTTCTTCTTTCTTCTTTCTTCTTCCTCTCTTCTCTCATCTCGCGGCTTTTGCCGTACCTCCTCTCGTTCCTCTCCGAGCCCCTTATTCTCCTTATACTGGGTGTTCTTCTTCAGGACATGCACATTCGAATATACCTTAGCAAATCTCTTTTATTCTCTCAAATTCACTCAAGATACGTGAAACAAGCATTATTGTATTATAAATTTAAAAAATATCCACTACTACATTGTTTTTTTTTTAGGAATAATGTAACTTTTGATGGGTTCTATAATACAGTTTATAAAATTTCACTAATCTACGTGTTAATCCAGTGTTAACTATAATTAGACGTTAATGTAAATTAACACACTCGTCGATAAGATATTTCATATCTCTCTCTCTCTCTCTCTCTCTCTCTCTCTCTCTCTCTCTCTCTCTCTCTCTCTCTNTCTCTCTCTCTCTCTCTCTCTCTCTCTCTCTCTCTCTCTCTCTTAGCAGAAGAATAAATAAATCACCTGTATTTTGTATATATCAAATCGTGAACGATTTCGTTTTTAATTGAAATTTCGTACATAGGAGTACAAATTTCAACCGATAGAAAATCTTTCCCCGATTAACTGATATAACAATTATATCGATGATATTATAAATTCGCGATAGTGTAAATTTTAAATTGAATTGCCAATTAGAAATTAATTGAAAATGATGTTTCGTTTATTGGAAGATTTCTTTTTTTGGACAAATCATAAAACGTAGTATAGAACAGAGGTACTTTTCAAATAAATTGAAGGAAACATTGAGCTACTGAACTTAAAATATATACATATATATGTAATACATATAAAGATACGCATGTAATGCAAGGACGAGTATACGTCATTGTCGATGACAACGTCGGCGCACGATTATCGCGTAATTACCAACGCGCCTCCAGAGGCACGCCGTGACTTACGAGGGTAATAATAATAATGAGGCACTTTATTGCCGCCGTATACCATCGTGAGAGCCGTCCTCGAGGCTCGAGTTAAAGGGACGAAGAAAAAGAAAGTAGAAAGAGAAAGAAAGAGAGAGAGAGAGAGAGAGAGAAAGATAAGGATATGGTAAGGAACGAGGACGCTTCGAATCTGCACGCGTTTCACGATTTTTCACGAGATTCCCTTATTCCCTTCTTCTTCCTCTCCTTCTCCTCCTTCTCCTCTTCTTTTTTCCTATTTTTTTTTCTTTCCTCTTAAATAAATGCAAAACCTTTTATAATATACGAAACTATTATACTAATTTTTAAAACAATTCTTTCTTCATTTTTATATAACAATTCTTTTATCTAACATAATTTAATCGTTAGTTAATACGATGGAAAATGTTTAATTGATCTTCGAGTGTTATTTGATTTTTATATCTAAAAAAATCTATGTAATTTATTCTAGAAGTTATTACTATAGATATATGCATATAATAATTAATGTAAATTTGATATATGTATATATTAAGTATTAATATAATAGTTGTATAGAATATAATATAAGTTGCACACAACACATAAATGCTACAAGTATACTGATTATAAATTATACTTGATGTTATATATTTATCATATTAATATATAAGTTTATATATAGAATATAAATTACAAATATTAAACATAATTTTTATGTTTCATGTTTTCAGATACATAAGAAAAATTGAATTACAATATGTGAATTAACTCTAGTTGCTATGCACACACGTACGCACATGTTTGTATGCAACAATTACCAACTGTAGAGATATCAGTTTATTCGTAATAAACATTTCTCTTCTCTACATATACCGTGTGTTACACGCATACATTTAAACAAGATAATGCAATTGATTTTCATAGAACCACTAACGTAAGTTAATCGATGCTCTTGTTTTGCAAAAGTCGAAGGACACGATCGCTTTGTCATCGGCTCTTTTTCTTAGAGAGCTCGTAAGTCACCGATACCGGTACACCGGTGTCCAGTTACGTCCGATCGGATGCATCAGCGTGACATTTTCTCGTCGGCGGGACCGGCTCGTGTTTGAAAACTTTTATATATATGACGATTTAGTTCGTAATAAATTTATATCTTCGTCATTATAAATTTCGTTCATAATTAACGATCAATTTTATTTTAAACGTTTACACTAAAGAAACAAGAAGAAAAAAAAAGGAGAAGAAGAAGAATATTCACTTTGTCCGTTTTCAATAAGAACAAAAAACGAAAGGAAACGAAAAAGAGATTCTTTTGGAAAAATTAATTCTAAATTATTTACAAATATTACTAATAAAATTAAAAAAAATTAATCAATTACTTATGAAATAATCTAACGAAAAGTTACAAAATACCCTTTTTTTTTTTTTAAATAAGAAACAAAAAAAGAGATAATAAGCATCATCGAAAAATCTAATTCCACAATTT